TGCATTCACTTTCTTGTTTATTTTATCTATCACTCCATCCCGTGAATGCCATTAAGAGGTTTGAAACAATAAGTGAATACTTATCTTTGGCTTTATCACTTTGTCCGATTTAAGGTTTGGGAAAAAAATCGAGTTTTACAGTTTAAACAGTCATATTGATTTAGTCTGCTGACTTCCTCTATATGGAGAGATGGACCTTGTTTGATTCATGCTCTTTACCATAGAGAATCTCATTCTTTCTAGAACTGTGGGACCACTTGATTATAGAGTTTATAATAACATTTCAGTTACACACACAAAATATAACAAAAGTAACACTGAATGTCGTAACACAAAGGTACTCAACATGATGTAGTGAACAGTATAAAAATCAGCTGGAAAAATTAGGGTTAAGAATCGCATGTTAGTATGACAGCATACAGATAATTGGAAGATATCGATATAAAAGATAATTGTTCATAAACAAACAACAAAATAACCTACATTTGTTACTGCAGACTAAAAAGAAAAAAAAGGATGTCTAAACGATGTCATCACGAGATAACATAAAATTACTTGTGGAGCACTTTAGTTTACAAAATATGATACCAGCACGTGTAAAACGATGTCATTACAAGAAAATATAAAGTTGCCTGTTGAATAGTTTAGTTTAAAAAACATGATACTAGTACGTTTAAAACGATGTCATCAGAAGAAAATATAAAGTTATATGTTGCATAGTGTAGTTTACAAAACATGATAGTAGCACGTGTAAAATGATGTCATCAAAAGAAAATGTAAAGTTACCTGTTGAATGGTTTAGTTTACAAGACATGATACTAGCACGTGTAAAATGATGTCATCAAAAGAAAATGTAAAGTTACCTGTTGAATGGTTTAGTTTACAAGATATGATACTAGCACGTGTAAAATGATGTCATCACAAGAAAATATAAAGTTTCGTGTCTCTTTGAGCTTTTAAGTTTCCTGCTTGTTAGTTACAACTTTCATTCTGAACTTTAAAGTTTCCTGTCTGTTTGTTTGAACTTTAAAGTTTCCTGCTTGTTTTATATAGTTACAACTTGCACTTTGAATTTTCAACTTTCCTCTTTGTTAGTTACAACTTTCATTCTGAACTTTAAAGTTTCGTTTTTATGAGGTGGATCTTTCACTTGGAACTAACAATTTCGTGTCTGTGGAACGATCTCTAAAGTTTCGTGTTTGTATGAGCGCTTTCTTTGAACTCATAATTGTGAATTTGTGGAACACTATTTTTGAACTCAGAATTTCGTGTTTCTGAATCTAGTCAACCCTGATGTAAGTTGTAGAAAACTATCACTTGAAATGATTATGTTGTGGAACGTATGATCATGACACGGACATGTGGGAACACTGTGGCTACTTCACATGAGTTAAATAGAAGTTTGTTTGGAATATCTGTGCTTTGTATACATCAGAAGTATCGAACCCCGGTTTTTAATGGTGTGAGCCCTCAGACTTATCGCTGAGCAGTTGAGTACAAGAGCAAGCCTACATGTTTGTAGAAAAAAACGTATATTTAGTGAGTGTTATTTTAAACAGCAAAGAAACCACAACTCATCTTTGTACTTTTCACTTGTTAATTTGAATGTTTAAATCAATAAGAATGGAAACGCAAGATACTAGATGCAAGATGGTTAAAGTGACGTCACTCTGATTGTCCACATGCACACACTTCTTAGATGTTGATGTTTTCTCCTGATATTTGTTTACTCAAAGAGGGTATTAGCCATGCTTATTTCACCCTACATTCATTGGTAATTAATTGTTCCCATATAGTTTGTTATTATATCTTTCTTATTTCTGCTCTCTGTGTTCACTATATCTGTTGACATTGCTACATCTGACTGTTTTTCTTTATGTTTGATCGTGATCTGCGCCTTCACAAACAAGCTGTAATATAACGTGGCTTTGTGAACAATATTATCAGCTACTGAGTTCGTCGCGAGAATTGACAATAACTGCTCTCAACTATGAACTCTTTATTCAATACGTAACTAGACAATTATATTCTACATTGAAGATTTTCTTATACAGTACACATCATGTTCTTCTTCCTCTTGCTATATATAATCTCCACAGATTTTCTGGAAGAAGGAAGGATGTAACTATAAAATATACCCGTTTTAATGATTATTCCGGCCTGACTTTCTGTTCTGTGATTTTAGAAGTTATCCTAAACACACAGTCACAATTAAAATAAAAGCACAAAAGGAAGCGATCGATTAAAAACATCAGATAATCTTAGCAGTCATACTTCACGTTATTTTCGTGTTTGTGTTTCCGATCAAGGTGTTCTTTAGAAGTCATACTTCACGTTATTTTCGTGTTTGTGTTTCCGGATCAAGGTGTTCTTTAGAAGTCATACTTCACGTTATTTTCGTGTTTGTGTTTCCGATCAAGATGTTCTTTAGAAGTCATACTTCACGTTATTTTCGTGTTTGTTCTTCCGGAACAAGGTGTTTTTAGCAGTCATACTTCACGTTATTTTCGTGTTTGTGTTTCCGATCAAGGTGTTCTTTAATACTTCACGTTATTTTCGTGTTTGTTCTTCCGGAACAAGGTGTTTTTAGCAGTCATACTTCACGTTATTTTCGTGTTTGTGTTTCCGGATTAAGGTGTTCTTTAGCAGTCATACTTTACGTTATTTTCGTGTTTGT